CTGGAAGAGACATTGATAGGCTTTGTTACAAGGGTCTGCGTAACAAAGTTATTCGAGAGCTGAGAGTAGCCAAATCCAATTATTATCTTCATCAAATGAATGAGGCTAAAGGGAATAGTAAGCTAATTTGGAAAAACATAAATACTCTTTTACGAAAGGAACCAAATTTTATAGGAGATATTAAACTTAAAGTTAAGGGAAAGTTAATTGAAGATGATTGTGCCATTGCTACTACTTTTAATAATTTTTTTATTGACTCCGTTAAAGAATTAGGGGATACGTTTTCAAAAAGGGACATAAATATTAGTCCAATTGAGGATGTATGTAAAAGTTTTAATCTAATCAAGACAAATGAAACGCAAGTTAATAATGTTATTAGCTCATTGAAAAATTCAAAATGTAAAGATGCTCATTATTTGGATACTATGTTTGTTAAAACTCACAAAGATAGTTTAACCCCGGTCATCACTCATTTAATTAATTTGTTTTTTGAAGGTAGTGTTTTTCCTACTGCGTGGAAAAAAGCAATTGTTTCTCCTATTTTTTAATCTGGAGACCATTATAAAGTTAGTAACTACAGACCCATAAGCATACTGCCAGTACTCTCAAAGGTTGCAGAAAAGATTGTTTTTGAACAGCTGACATCCCATCTTAACACCATTGAGTTTGGCCTACATTGTATGCAGTTTGGTTTCAGAGTAAATCATTCTACTGAAACAGCTACTTTACATTTAATAGAGCAAATAAAATCTAAAGTTGACAAAGGAGGATTTGTTGGGGCTATATTTTTAGATCTACGTAAGGCCTTTGATATCGTTAATCAGACAGTTCTCCTTTCTAAATTGTCTACATTTCAATTTTCACCTGAAGCTTTGGCATGTGTATCCTCATACTTACAAAATAGAGAACAATGTGTAAAAATTAAAGGGGTTATGTCCTGTGATCTGCATTATACAATGGGTGTACCCCAAGGATCAGTACTAGGTCCCTTACTATTTAGTTTGTATATTAATGATCTTCCGAAACAGTGTGAAGGGATACAAGTACAAATGTATGCTGATGATACTGTTATTTTTATACATGCGAAAACAGCAGAATTAGCGGCTGAGAAGTTAAAAGCTGCTACAGAAAAGATTACACAGTGGCTGGAACAGTCATGTCTTAGCCTAAACATCAGTAAAACAAAAGGAATTTTTTTCTCTAAAACAAATGTTAAATCTCCTGATGTTGAGATTTTTATTAACGGTGAAAAGATAGAAATAGTAAATGAGCTCAATTATCTTGGTATAATATTGGACTCAAATCTGAGTTTTAAAAAACATGTAAAGAAAATGGTGAGGAATATTAAATATAATATGGCAAACTTTAGACAAATTAGACAATGTCTTTCTTTTGATGTAGCTAAGGCTTTTATGCAAGCTACAATCTTTTCTCACATGTCTTACTGTTTGACATGTTGGGGTCAAGCGGGTGAAACTGTTATTAAACCCTTAAAATCTCTATATAAACAGACATTAAAAATTTTAGATAAAAAACCTAACCATTTTCATTTTTGTAGGATCATAGAGAAACATAATTTTCTAAACTTTGACAATTTTAGACTCTATTCAAGTTTGTGTATGGTTCATAAAATCCTAAACGGTCTGGCTCCTTCTGTGTTACGTGACTTTATTAATCTTCGCTGTGAAACCTCTGTGAGATCTACCAGACAATCACTTATGAGTAATTGTCTGGTTCCTTTTCGTCGTTCCGCATTTGGACTATCATCTTTTGCAGTGAAAGCCACTAATCAGTGGAATGCCCTACCAGAGGATATAAAAGGGTGTAAAGCTCATGGTCTTTTTAAATTGAAGTTAAAATCTTTTTTAAAATTGAACCAATTATGTAATCATTGAGATTGTTGTAGTTAAATTGATTGACTGATTTATATATTTATGTTTTTTATGGCCTTGACAGCGTGTATGTATGTATTTATTGTATGTGAACATAGGTATTGTCTGTGTAATGTTTTGTTAGCTTTGTCCTGTCTGGGGGACTACGGATGAAAAATAGCCTTTGGCTAAATCCGGTACAATACATGAAATGGAAATTTTATGTTAAAAATTGTGCATGGTCCCTTCATAAATAAATAAATAAAAAATAATAATAAAAAAAAAGGGCTTGCGTTTAGGCACACATGAAGTGCACACGAAGTGCCTCTGTCATAAATGTGATCAGGTGAAAACAACAAAAGATTTTAGCACAAAGATGTGACAGCTTTTCTTCAAGTAGGAGCAGAGTATGTTTATAAGTAAAGCTGTCTTAGCAGAGGATGGTTTCGATCCATCGACCTCTGGGTTATGGGCCCAGCACGCTTCCGCTGCGCCACTCTGCTCCTGACAACAGACTTGCCATACTCTACTGTTTTCAAATTGACATGCGTTTAGGCACACTTGAAGTGCTCTTCTGTCATCAATTAGAACAGGTGAAAAATGCAGAAGGTTCTAGCACACAGCTGAGGCAACTTTTCTTCAAGTAGGAGCAGAGTATGTTTATAAGTAAAGCTGTCTTAGCAGAGGATGGTTTCGATCCATCGACCTCTGGGTTATGGGCCCAGCACGCTTCCGCTGCGCCACTCTGCTGTAAACCACCCCAGATGGGACTCGAACCCACAATCCCTGGCTTAGGAGGCCAGTGCCTTTCCATTAGGCCACTGGGGCTGTTCAAAATATGTGCTCATCTGACCACATTACTTTGGCTTCAGTGACAACAACAGCATCGGCATTTAAACAAGGCCAGCACACAAAGTAATCCGGATGAACGACTACTTCGATAGGCCACTGGGGCATGACTCGCTTGCCCTAATAATTGTCCATCTCATTCAGGTGGCTTAGTCAATGAGGCGTTAGAACAGGGCATACACACACAAACACACAGATTTTCTGAATGAACAAGCGGGATGTGGAAGTTGCTCTTTATTTGGGATAAAACATGGACATACCTGAAGAAGCCTTAGCAGAGGATGGTTTCGATCCATCGACCTCTGGGTTATGGGCCCAGCACGCTTCCGCTGCGCCACTCTGCTCGCCATAGAAGAGCTCCCATTCACAGGTGTTTTCAAAAGGGCTTGCGTTTAGGCACACATGAAGTGCACACGAAGTGCCTCTGTCATAAATGTGATCAGGTGAAAACAACAAAGGGTTTTAGCACAAAGATGTGACAGCTTTTCTTCAAGTAGGAGCAGAGTATGTTTATAAGTAAAGCTGTCTCAGCAGAGGATGGTTTCTATCCATCGACCTCTGGGTTATGGGCCCAGCACGCTTCCGCTGCGCCACTCTGCTCCTGACAACAGACTTGCCATACTCTACTGTTTTCGAATTGACATGCGTTTAGGCACACTTGAAGTGCTCTTCTGTCATCAATTAGAACAGGTGAAAAATGCAGAAGGTTTTAGCACACAGCTGAGGCAACTTTTCTTCAAGTAGGAACAGAGCACGTATTTAAGTAAAGAAGGTTTAGCAGAGGATGGTTTCAATCCATCGACCTCTGGGTTATGGGCCCAGCACGCTTCCGCTGCGCCACTCTGCTGTAAACCACCCCAGATGGGACTCGAACCCACAATCCCTGGCTTAGGAACGCCAGCTGCCGAAGGATAGTCCGACAATATGGGGATAATGTTGAACAATGTTGAACGCCACAGCCAATCACGTAGACGCGCTATAACATTTGCAGCCAATCAGAGAGCGCCATTCTTGACATTTTCTTATCATTTTCGACATTTGACCAATCAGAGTACAAGATTTTCTTATAATTTTCGACATTTGACCAATCAGAGTAAAAAGAAATCTCGACGGCACGTTTATGCTTATCACCGCTAGGTGAAGTCAGGAAGATAGCCAAGTGTCAATCAAGTTGCCGAACTGAGCCGAAAGTGTACGGAGCGGTACGAAGTGATGATCCTCAGGGGCGTGTCAGAGGTAAAAAAAGTTCAGTTAGACGTCGAGCATCACTGTCAGGGGGGTCAGGTTGCATAATTTGAACGGAGGACTGCGAAACAAAATTTTCGGTAAATTTAACGTTATTTTCGGACAACAGGTAAGAACGAATAATGTAATTGTATATTTGAATATGTCGTGTGTGCTTTTTTAAAGAAAACCTTTTTATTATTACTAGTTTTGTCCAAAACGATTTAACCTTAACTTACCTAGCCCCCCCAAAAAAAGAAAAAAAAAAGAATGTCGGGCAAAAAATCCCATAAAGCCATGTCGGATGCTGACTGGATTTCAAGGCTAAAAAAGTTTGCCAGCACAGGAGTTTGGCCATCAAATGAGGGTAACAGGCCAGCTCCTCGACAGAAAAAGTGGCATGACGTGTATCAAAAGGTGAGTGTGCTTTTGTCACCTTTGCATGGCAGTAAGGAATAAAAATGACATTTGAATGTAAAAATGACATTTTAATGACAAATTCAATTCGTACCACTGTAGTTGAGGTCAATAAAAACATTCATGACAAAGTTATAATGGCCTCATGACCAACCACATAACAGTTTAATGTAATGTTAACCTATAAAGCTAAGTGGTTTCTTAAGTTTGATAATTAATCTGCTATGTCATGTTTATGACATATTATGTTATCTTGGTATTGTCAAGTTGTTATGACACTGACCAGTTATGATGTATTGGTTAATGTCAAGTTGTCATAACAAAGACATCTCAAACAATGTCATATTTGCATTAAAAATGTCATAATTGACCGAATGACACTTAATGGCAGTTGTCATAAACATGCATAAAACCTCCTTCATATTCATGATTATGAGGGTGTCATGTCAGTCTTATGCACACCCCTTCAAGTAAAGTGTTACCGTGTGAAATGTTCCTCACTCTTTCTCTCTAATTTTACAGTTTGTATCTCCCCTTCAAAGAACATGAATAAAAATAAATATGACACACGTCATGGAAAATGACAGTAGATTAGTTTCCCATTCCGGTTTAGTTGAAATGCATGTATTGTGTATATGACATGTGTCATAATGTTTACAGATTGAAAAATGTCCGATGCAGTCTCGCGGCCAGACGACCTTGTTCAGAGAGGTCCCAAAGTGCACGTGTGGTTTTCACACTCAAAAGGTAACAATGTGAAGATGTTGCAAGTATTAAAACATAATAATAATAATAATTTACTGAATAAATGTTTCTCGTTCAAAAGTGATTGAAGCTGATGTCATTTTTGGTTGTCTTAAGCAGGCCACAGTCTCTACTGGACAAGCACCAATGGTTGTGGAGCAACAGTCTGCCGCTACTGGACCAGCACAGGAGGTCATGGAGCAGAGTCAACCTCAGCCTCGACTCCAGCCCCAGCCACGGCCTACTGCATCTGTGACATCTAGGATAATACCAAGTTTGTCAATGGTAATAACATTTTTATTAATACATGTATTATTAATTCAGTCATCATGCATCTACTTTCAAGTATAACCTTAATTACTGTTAATAAACACTTTATCTTACAAGCTATGTGCAAACTAGTTTTGAATCAATGTCATTTTTAAAAGGTACCTGTTGAATTACAATAATACTCACATTCTAGCAATGTCTTCCCACTCATTTTTCTATTCTAACTGTGCTTGCTTCAATCTATATAAGTAGCAGAGGGTTGTAATATGAACAAATGTACAGCAAGAAAGCAGTTAATTTAGTTATATGAAATATTGAAACAACAGATATTTTCTCATTTACCAAAAATGTAATTATATTTTCTGCCACTGTGCTGTTACAGCTTATTTTGTCATTTAGTTGAAATTGTTTTGCCCTATTTTAGTTTACCAAGCCAAGATTTGGTGGGTCCCACATTTCTGCCGCAAAGCCAAATCTAAGTGTGTCTAGGAGACCATCTCAGGTTGATGACCAACCCAGCACAGCAGTGTCCAGTGCCCCTACACCAAGCACCACTGTCTCTGTAAGTACTGGCATAATCCACATTGCATTCTATGAATACACATTCCACTCCTGTGCACACATATCTTGTATTCCAGGAAATCTTACAATAATGAAGTAATAACAGTACTATATACTCTTTGAATTAAATAGATTTTATGTACAGTACTGTTCAAAAGTTTGTGTGTTCAGTAAATTGAGACTTTTTTTCAGCAATGACACATTAATAAATACATTTGAAAATACATTAAAATAAGCAGCAATATTATTTCCCAGTATAACTGTTTTTGACTGTATTTTAATCTTCTTTCAAAAACATAAAATAAACTTACTGACCCCAGACTTTTGAACAGCATTGTATAATTCCATCCAGGATGAGTTACAATTATTGGACAGGTATGTTTGACTGTTTCTCTTGTTATATATACAAAATCTATTATATTTCACTGCATGATTTTACAGACACAAGATCCTGGAGTTCCAGCCTCTGTCCCCAGAACCACTGCAGATGTGACCAGTCCTGAGTCTTGCGGTATTGTCTCGGTACGCAATTTCAAATTCTATTGGTCTAAAATAATTTATTTTGCATATTAACTGTCACAACTCACTAGAGTCGCACAAAATAGCGCTAGCAGCTGACACAATTCTGAAAACATTTGGAACAAATGTACCAATTATATTCAAATTTCCTTAAGTACGTAATTGACATCCAATATTTTCTATTTTATGTGAGGGTAGACTTGGATAGATAAAGCGCTAATTAAATAAATGACCTGCTAGACTAAATGTTTTTTTCTTTTTCCTTCACAGACTGCTCCTTCCGGGGCGTCATTGCAAGCTCCATCTGCAGTTCGACTGCACCGTTTGTGGTCGGAGACCTTGCCGCCAGAGGACCACAGGTGGATTGCCAGCAGGCTTTTTAAAATGGGGCCCAAGGGAAAACCAGAGCTTCGAGACAACCTACAGCTCTGGTATTACCCACCACAGCCAGCACTTATTTATAGCCAGGCTCCAGCTCCAGACAGATTTTTTTGTCATGCTCTGTTGCTGTGGATGCCGTACAAGCTGTGGAAGATCAAGGCTGTCTGTCCCAATTCTGCTTGCGGGCAGCATCAGCTAACAGGAGGCGGTCTGCACAAAAGGGCACGGCAGGTTCTGGACATCGATAGGATGTACAACATGGTCACAGAAACCCTCATCTGTACCAAATGTAAAGCCTCGCATGTGTCCTGGAGTCAGACTGTCCTGCAACAGCTGGATCTGGGTCATCGCTCTGAATTTCGGGTCATCCTCACGCGGAAGTAAGTACACTTTCATTCCACATCCAGTTGATAGACCATCATCACATATATTTGCAAATATTTTACAAATCAAACATGTAAAATATATGAATGTGTGGATTTTGCTTTTCCTAAGGTATGCCTGTGATATGAGAGTCATTCGGCTCCTGCGTGAGCGTGGCCTAGGCAACAGTCCCACGCGGGTCATCAAACAGCTGCGTGAGAACCACAGCGAGGAGTGGCTCCAGCGTATGGCCCGGTACACCACCCAATGTGTGGACTTCCTCAAACGACCCGGGGTGTTGCAAATACCATTCCAGGAACCCCCAGAGCCTACAGTGGTGCCAAGCTGCAAGTGGCTGCTCACCGTGTACAGCCAAGACATCCTGACAAGACTGGATGAAATCCATGCAAGGATAACATCCACGTATGGTTCAGTCTTGAAAATGGATTCCACTAAAAAGGTTAGCAGGGGATTTTTGTTCATTTATGGTGTTTACTGTTATATCATTATCAGAGCATGAGTATCATATTCTACATGGTGTGATGTTTCATTACATTGCATGCTTCCTGTCATCTACTGCAGATCACTAAGAAGCTGGCTGGGACGGCAAGGGGAACGGGACTCTGGCTTACCTCTGTTGGCAATGAGTTTGGTCAGGTGCTCATGAGTGTGCTGACAGCACAGGAAGGAGCAGGACTGGACATGATGGTCGATGGTCTGGTGAAAAGGTACCAGCAGGCTAGTGTGGATCCACCTGCTGTTTTGTATGTGGACTGTGGCTGCTGCACTGATGTGGGTGAGACCAAGCTGAAAACCAGATTCAGAGGTTGGCCTGATCTCATGATTCGCTTGGACATCTGGCATTTTATGCGCAGGATTGCCGTGGGGTGTACAACTGATGCCCATCAGCTGTATCCCATCTTCATGTCACGGCTGTCAGCGTGCATTTTTGAGTGGGATGCGGCTGATGTTTCTATGCTTCGCAAAGCAAAGAGAGAGCTGTTGATATCCCAGGGTTGGCCTGCGCTGACAGATGAAGATGTCAACAAGCATCTTACCAGGGATGAGCTGGCACTCCATTGCCGGAGGAGGACCTGTGGAGAGGAGACTACCATCCTTCTCCTTGAGCGGCTGCTCACAGAGCTCCTGAGCAGCAAGGGCAAAGACTCCCTGGGGGTTCCTCTCCTGGACCGAGAAAGGATGGAGCACATCTGGAATGTCCAGAAGAAGCATGTTAAATGCATTCAAGACCCCCCTGGTGTTATGCTCTATACAGAGACAGGGAGTCTAAACAAGGGAGGCGTTCTTCTGAAGACCTACAGATGTGCCAGAGGCTCCACTTCTCTCGAGTCCTTTCATTTACACCTAAACCGTTTCATCCCAGGTATGTCTTTGTCACACACACTGTGCATGTGTAAAGAAAGAGCATTAAGTGTTTTGTATGTTTCTTTAACACCCCCTAAACACTGTTGTGTCTATTTACAGGGACCAGTGCAAACAGTCTGAACTTTCAGATTTATCTGCTGGAGGGTCTACACCGGTGGAACCAGGACCGGGAGGCTGCTTCCCTGTCATCGGAGCCATCAGCTTTGCGCAGCTACACAGGAGAACTTGTTCACTGTGTAAACAGCAATTATGAAAAGCTGTTTGGCAGGAAAGTGGTCCCCACGTTTTGTCCCCCTGCATGTTACACCGGTGAGAATTATTGTATATATTTTTTATTTTATCAACTTGCAATTTCTGTGTAACCTCCGTCTATATGTCAGATTTAATCCTATAGAGTCGATTGTATCATAATTGATATGCAAGTTTCTAAAGGCCTCTAAATGATCAACATGGTCAAAACTTTTCAGGAAACATGGCCTCTGTCGTCTGATTGATTATAGTCTTTTAATATAATTGTAAAAGTGTCCACCTTCAGCTCGTGCTTCACGTTTCTTTTCACTGTGAAACCTTTACTGATTTTTATAAAGTAATTGTAAGAATAACTTTTATATTGTTAGTAATATGTAATGACTGTAATATGTAATAAATATGTAATGACAGCTTGGGTTCACTTGATTAGAAAACCATGTTACATGTAAATATCAAAATTATCATCAGACTTTTCTCTCAGTCACCATTGTATTGCATTTCATTTCATGTTTTGCCCCCATAATTAAACGTGTTGGGCCTCTGAATAAAACAGTTTTTTTTTTCTCCTTGACGATGAGCTCTATATTCTCACACTATATGAGCTAGCCTACTACAAAAGCCTAATGTATCAAATATGATACACAACATTCTATTTAATTTCTGTTTGTTTATTGTTTTTATTTCAGGTGAGCTCATTGGAGTGCAGTATCTGTTCCAGCAGACTGGTCAGGCACTGCAGGACATGAATCCGGACTCTGAGCAGACAGCAGAGCTCATTGAGGACCTCAGTGTGGAGGAGCGAGATGAAGATGAGGGCTTCTGTGACATCAGCGAGGATCACACAATAGCAGATCCGGAGGCTGTTCTGTCACCGCCCTCTTCCACACTGACACTGGGTTCTTCCACCCTGGTCACCAGCAGTGCCACACCTGTACTGGGCTCCACATCCCCTCCACTGGTCCCTGACCCCAAACTTGGCCTCACACAGTCTCCTTCATCACCTGGACCCTCAGGGACTGCCGTCACACCTGTTCCCTCTGAAACATCTGTTTCAACTCTCCCCTCAGATCCAGAGGATGCTGGTCAGGATGATGATGAAGAAGAGACGGTAAATACCAGTCCTTTGCATGTCTTTCAAATTAACTAGAATAATTATGATGAATTAACATCCAGTGCTTTAAATACAGACTTTCCACATATTTTAAATGTAAAAGTACAGCCTAAATTCATTTGTAAGCTGCAAATACACATCAAGTCAAGTCATCTTTATTTATTTGGTGCTTTGTAAAGAACATGTTAAGAAAATGTCAAGAATGGGGCTCTCTGCTTTGTACTATACAGTGCTTTACGGTGATAAACAGGAAAATAACACAATCAGTTATGGAATTATGCATTAGACAGATGTGATGTAATAATTGTATTGCGTGTTTGTGTTTTTTAATAGGCTGTTGACTACCAAAATGTCCCGGGTTATCAACATGTGGACCAGCTGGCAGAATATCTGGTGGATCTCCGGGCCCACACAGCCCTCAGCCTGACCAACCAGGAAGCCAACACCATTATTGCTCTTTGGCAGAACCTGGATGACCGGGACAAGGAACGGGTGGTGTATGACAGTCGATGCCGAAAGAGACTGCTGAGTGGACGCTTCAAAGTCCCGAAGAGGCCCACTCACCCTGGTGTAGAGAGCACCACCAGATGTGTGCTGGGTGCAAGCAGCTCACCTGCTCAGTGGCCTGACTGTTGCCGTCTGGTGGAGACCATCTTCATCAGACTTTGCACTGTCCACCCAAGCCCTAAAAGAAAAGGCAAGGGAGCCCTGTCAAGATGGTCTCTGATCCTGCAAGACTATCGCAGGATAAGGCAGCTTGTACTGGGCAACAGCTTGGTGATGGGAGGAACATCGATGCAGCTGGTGGAGGTTAACCAGAACACCCTGATTCAGTGGTATAACAGAAGACAGAAAAAGCAGGAGCTGTCTGTGCTGCTTCAGGGTATTCAGTTGCCTCAGCCCCTCCCTGAAGCTCCAGAGCCTCTCCAGGTTGCCAAACGTCTACGGACTGAGCCAGAACAACCAGGGGAGCAGCACCAGTACAAGCTACCAGAGAGCACAGCTGGTCAGGCAAAGCAGAGGCAGACTTCTGTTGGGCGACCCCCTCTCAGACCCAAGGCACCAGCGCAGAGTCAGATGTTGCTGACACCATCAGCACCTGGAGCATCACTGCAGATGGTCCCAAATATACTCATACCATCAGCACCAGGTTTCCAGGGTGTGCCAATGTTTCAGGGTGTGCCAATGATCCAGGGAGTTCAAATGATCCAGGGTATCCCAATGGTCCAGGGGATGCAAATGATACAGCCACTGTTACAGCCAACAGCTGTACAGGGCACTCGCTTACCCGCTGCACCAGCTGCCCATCCAGACGCCATGCCCAAGAGACCCTACAGGAGAACAGTTGCGGCCAACACTTGCAAAAAATGTGGGCAATATAAAACAAGTGCAACAGGTCATAGCCAGTACAGGGGCAGGGTGTACTGCCCACAGACTGAGACTGTTACAAAAGAGGTGTGGTTAGAGGAAATGCGCAGAACCATTCCCAAATAATGTATATATTTTCATGTACAGTATATAGCATCATGTATATAGTGTGAACAGTTGTTTAAATAGTTAATACTTGTGTTGTATATTATTTAATTTTGTTTTTTTAACGTTATTTAACATTTTAACTTTTTATTTCTTGTTTTTGAAAACCTATTTAACTTTTCATTTTATTTATTTATTTTTAAAACATGTTACCAGTATTTAACATATTAATATTCATTACTGTTCTGTTGGCATGATTGGAAAATAAAAACAAATTGGCAAGTGATTTCTTTTTGACTTTCATATATCACTAGTTCATCAGTACACTGCAACAATATAACATTTGTATATAAAAAGATAATTTGTACATTTTGTTATTCTTGTGATTGACATTTTCAGCATATTAGTAACTATTTAATGGGTTGCATTTTGTTCATTACAAATAACAGTTTTGCAAGTTTCTTGTTTGAATGTAACCTAAAAAAATGCTTAATTAGATCAATAATAATACAACAACTACTAAATAATATCACTTTTTATTGGCAATTATATATTTTTATAAAAGAATATAAAAAAAACACAAACAAATTACATATGTATATTTTATTAACACTGGAAAAGTATGCATTAAAAAATTAGCTTATTTTCTTTTACTTTATTATAACAGAATGTGCTCATTTACTTTCATATAACACAATATTTCATCAGTACACTGCACCAATATAACATTTGTATTTAAAAAGATAATTTGTACATTTTGTTATTCTTGTGACAGACATTCTTCATATTAGTTACTATTTAATGATTTGCATCTTTCTTCATTGCATAATAATGCAAATAACATTATTTTTCATGATAGAATATCAAAAAACACAACAAACAAATTAAATATGTATATTTTATTAACACTGGAACAGTATGCATTCAAAAATATTGATTATTTATTCTGGAACAGTATGCATTCAAAAATATTGATTATTTATTCAAATAATACATATGACAAAAAGTTGTCTTTAGCTGGATTCGAACCCCGGTCTTGGTGAACACCTGCAATAGAAAACAGTGTAATATAA